TTTCTATTTTCTTTTTTAAAACAAAAACCAAAGAAAATCTTTTTTATTGAAAATCTTCTAGACACCCTAATACTTTAATAATGTTTTAGAATAATTTTTTCACATAGGGATTTCTTTAAAATCACTATTAAGATTTCTTTAGAATTCCATAAATTTTCATTTTTATTTCCTTTTTTAAGAAAAAAGAATAATTAATTACTGCAAATGATATTTATGTATAGCTATATATAATTTAATATAAAAAGGATTCATTTTTCTTTCATCATTTTTAATACTTTTATCATTATTCTTTTTATTTTTTTATTATTTTTTTTGTTTTATATATTTATATTTTTATTATCATTTATTATTATTATTTTTCATATCTTCTTATACATACATTTTTTAATGTACTAACTTTTAAACACCAATTTTCCTATCTCTTTTAAAAATATATATTTATTCTAGGAATATAAACATAAACATACATTAATAAATAATAAATAATTTTAAAAATTAAAAAAATTAAAAAATTAAAAAAAAATTACCTAAATTGATTTATCAACAGCTCAAAAAACGATCCAATCGGTTTTGCATAGTTCAAGGCAGTTTTTTGCAATTTGAAATGATTTTCTATTGGTTCAAGCGGTTTAATGGTAGTTTGTGTGGTTCAAACCAACTCAAACTGATTCAACTTAAAAAAGACCCAAAAACCAAGTAGGACATGTAGATCCCAAGTTGGATCCAAGTCCACGCACGAATCTATCCCTTTTAAAACGACATCATTACCCTTTTTTTTTAATAAAAGCAAACTTTTTTATCTCATTTTAACTTTCCTCAAAAAAAAAAAAAAAAAACTTCATCAGCTTTCATGTTTTCCCAAAACAACCCTTTTTCTAGACCTCTATGATTAGCCACTATTTGTCGTTGTTGCCTTCGTCACCAACCATCACTCTCCAACACCAAAATTACCCCAAATTTCACCCAAACATTTTAGTCCCTTGATTACTATTCTGGCCTTAGTTTTGTATGAAAACCAACCAAACTTCATAAATTTAGTCTTGAATCCATGGCCTCAAACAAAAAAAAATCTCTTCCTTTCTCCCATTTTATGTGTTCTTAGTCTTTGCTTTTGTTGTTCCATTTTGGCACTACTTCTCCCTACTAGTAGACGTGTTGTTTTTTGTTTTTGGTTTGTTAAGTATCCAACTTAAAATCAATTGACAGTAAGTGAAAAGGTCCAACTTGAGTATAAAACTACAAGAAATTACAAATTTATTAGATGTGAGATAACCCACTTTAATAGGCCCTTATCATGTGTAGGCAAAAATGAAAGAAGCCTTTTACATGATAAATTAGGAAAATGCAAAGGAAGAAAAATTTTGGCTCTAATATCATGTTAAGCATCTAACTCACTATCAATTGGTTGTAAGTTAGTGTTTCAAATCTAATAAATATCCAATATCCTGAATTCATCTTCACCTACACATGATATATTTGGCAAAAGAAAATCTTGGCTCTGATACCATGTTAAACATCCAACTTAAAATCAATTGGCAGTATGTAAAGGAACTTAACCTGAATATAAGACTACAAAATATTGAAAATCAAAGTTTGCTAGGTTTTTTTATGTTTTTTTTTTGTAGGTCTTGTGTTGTGATGGAGGGATTGTTTAGGCATTGGTGGCTGTAGTGGTGGTTAGTAAGTATAGAGGTTGTCGTGCATAGGGACTTGGAGCATCAAGGTTAGTGCGGGCAAAGTTTTTTTAGGATCTTTTTTTTTTTGTTCGAGCCAAGTTTTTCAGCAATAATGGCTTGGGCTTTAAAACAGAGGCATTCAAAGGTGGGTTTGCACGGGTGCAGCAGTGGTTTTTTGTTTTGGCAAAGTTTTTTTTTATTGTTCTTTTGGTTTGTTGGTATTGTGTCGAAAGGGAAAGGTGGGTGAAGGCAAGGTGCCAAAAAATTTTTGTTGCCCCTTTCTATGAATTGTTAGCTTTATCTCTCCCCTATCGATTATCTAAACCCCACTCTCTTTTATAGTTTTTGGGTTCTATATGAAACCATTCAGATAGGATATAGGAATTCAATTTCTAGTAGAATTGTAGTAGCATTTGGGATAGTGGAGCTTACTGCATTTTTTGGGTGTTGGGTCCATGATCAGATAGTGTTAAGGTCAGTAGGTGAAATGGGAGAACTGAAAATAGAGGCAACTATTTGGTGGGAAGGAACGTGAATCTGGGAAAGCTAGCAGACCCAACTTCATTCATTTATTTTTTTGGTAATTTTCAATTAATTAAAGTAATTAATTTTAAATAAAATGAAATTAGGCATTTAAAATTGAATTTGGACTCACATTAAACTTTGGACCTTCAAACTCAAATTACTAAATTTTATTTTGATCCAAATTGAATTGGGTTGGGCTTTGACCCATGCAAAATGATTAAAAAACAATTAACTTAACATAAAACTCGGTCATGAATTTGACTAAAACATTTAAGCTAGCTTAAATCGAGATATTTAAATCAAACATAAAAATAATCAAAATCGAATTATTTTGGAAAAAATTTAATGTTTATATATATATATTAAAATTTTTATAAAATAAAAATAATTATTTTATATTTAAATTTATTTAAATATATTAAAAATCATATTAAATAATATATGAAAATAAAAAAATTAAATTTAAAAAACTAAATCAAATCGATAGAATTCAGTTTTGATCAAATCAATTTTAAGGGAATGTTGGTTCAAATTTAAATCAAATTTTAAAAATTCATAATACTATATATTATTCGAAAAATCAAATTGATCCAAACCATTATTAACCCTAACTAATAATATGTGCAGTAAACACATAATTAACTTAATAATATTTGTCAAATATCATATTTATAATTTGATATAGTTAGTAGGATTAGAGTTTGGATTGACATGTTACATAATTTAAAAGTTAATTATACAAATTATACATGTTAATTCTTTAAGTACTAATTTATATATTTTCTCAAAATTCATGTACTAAAAGTGTAATTAACTCAAATTTAAAATTTAAATCTCAAATTTTAATTACTAAAATACCTTCAGTAATATATGTAATTTGCATATACTAATTTTCAAGATCGGTATATTTTTAAGATGTGAACAATATCGATTGTTATGTCCATATATATAGATTATTGTCCTTATATTTAAAATATTTTATTATTTTATGTATTTTTTATATATATTATAATAACTTACAATACTTTTTTCAATAATATTAAATATTTAAAATTTTTAATTATATTTTTTATTGTATTTTTAAAACGTATTTTTTTCAATTAAAACTTTATTTAACTACAATAATAATATTAAACTAGTTTTTAAGCAATAAAATAAAATTGCCTTTGTACCAAAACCTAAATTTCTATAGGAAACATGTATATAAGGGATGATGAAACTAATAATAATGTGATTTATTGACAAAATGTTAGATTTTTAATTTTAAAAATCGAAATCAATTTACTCAAAAAAAAAAAAAATGAAGAGTGGTTTGAGGCTTGAGGCATAAGAAACGTCTCTTTCCTTTTCGATCCATGGGCAAGGAGAGTCTTAGTCAATAGATTAATATTCAATTATTGAGGACTTATTCAATCCAATTAGACATTTGAAAGAACATGGGCATGAAATTTAATTAGTGAAAGCATCTCAGAAATTTCATAGCTGATGTAGATTACTGAAATGAAATTTATTGTCATCACAGTTGGAGCACGTTCTTGGGCAGTCATTTGCTAAGCTTCACATAAAAATTAATGTCCAATACTCAATAGATAAGTTAGAACCCAAATTATTTGAACCCCATTGGCCAACCATTGAATTTTGATCATAATTCGGGTGACCCCATTATTTCAACCAATCCATTGTCTGTATCGAATACTGAAGCAGAAAATTTTGCTTCAGGACAACTATATATGTCAAAGCCGGTATAATAATGTATTTGGTCCCATTATGAATTTCTCCATTATTCTTTAGTCTTGAGTTTTTTTTTTTTTTTTCAATTGCAAAATGATTTGTTGATAGATAGTGAATTTTTTGTACTAGTGATTAGAATTTAAATTTTGGTAACTTCAATTATAGAAAAAAAAATAGAGTTCCTTCATATTATAACCAAAAATTTGAAATTTTAATTTTTTTTTTATATTTGAAATTGCTAGGATTAAATTCTTATCACTTTCACATTGTGGAAGAAATCCTGGTGAGAGCTTAATTCAAATCTTAACCCACATTTGAAATTGTCTCTAATTCAAGCTTATTCAGCCTTGATTGTATTTAAAGAAAAGAAAAAGCAGTATAAATTAAGATTGCTGTAAAAAATGTAACAATTGCTACAAAGGTTGTGTAAAATATTCATGGTATTTTCTTAACTCCAATTTAATTCATCATCTTTCTACTTTAATTTTTTTCGGATTATTATTGTATATACCAATTGAAGAGTTCTAGAATTTGATAAATAACTTCAAGTTGTCATATGTTCATTTAATAATTATATTAATTTCTTAATTTATAAAAGTGTAATTATAACTTAATGAACATGTAATGACAATCCTTTAAATCCAATTGTGGAGTTTTAAAATATCCGTGCTTGCTAATTTGATAAATTTCACTTTTATTTATTTCCTTAATCTAACTTTTTAGTAGGCTTTTCAGCTCTTAAAATGGTTACGTTGTTTTTTTGTTTTTTTTTTTTATCACTTGACAAGTGATGTCAAAAGAATTCAAACTTCAAATTTCAATTTAATTTAATTAATTTATATAATCATTTTTAAAAATAACATTTAATATATTTAAAATTTAAATCTCATAACTTACATTTTTTTTTTAATCCCAAGTTACAACCTCATTTATTTAAAAAAAAAAAACTTAATCTTCCAACAAAAACTGAAGTCATGCTAGCCTTTTCTCTATGCACCCAATATATAGGAAAGACGTAGAAGATGTTGCTTTAATTAAAACAACAGAAAAAAAAAGTTTAGGAAGAAAGACCTCTCAGTGTTGATCAAATTAGAAACTAATCTAAATTAGGGATTCAATGCCAAGCTCAGAGTCCAGACCGGTTGAACATGAAAAATTCTCCACTAAAACCACAAGTAGCGATGTCTTGACAGGTTTAAGGGAACAAACACGTGAAGAAGAAGAAGAAGAAGAAGAAGAATAAAACTCCAACACATGCAAACTATTTGGTTTTACAGAAAGATTTACAGAAAAAATTAAAAAGTAAAAAAGAGGTACATTAAATATATATTCAAAAGACAATAGTTTTCTTAACCAAACAGAAACTTGAAGCTCTCCAATGGCTTTTGCTAAGAAAAAGAGTTCCAGCAAGACCAGTCTCAAAGGAGATACCTCAATCTTACACATTAGCATTATACATATTCTAAACTGACACCTACTTAAAGCTCCGTAGCACCTCTACAAATGTCAAAAATTTCATTGTAGAGACTACTAGAGACACTAAAATAGTCTACATCGACATAAAAAAAAGATACTTGACCCAAGAAAATACAAGGAGATTACATGGTAGTAGTTGTGTATGATATTATATTTAAGACTCAGATAGTTCCCTGATTGCTTCCCAATCAATTTCTACCGAAGGATACTTTTCCAAACCGAAATTTTCATTGTCTTCCCACTTTGAATCAGAGAAATCCAAGAAAGTGATATCAGATTCTGGTGAAGAGGACCCTGCCAATGACTCATCGGATGCATCCGAGGATGATGATGATGACAATGAATTCTCCACTTTAGGATCAGAAAATCTTGAAGACTGATCAAACTCCTCACTCTTAACAGGGTAATCAAACTCAAACTTAGGCTGTGAAGGAGCAACACTGTTAGATTTTGAATCAGAAACGGAACAGGTCTTTCCTGAATTCCCTTGTTTCTGCAAGCTCTGGCAGATGGCTTGTAGCTTTGCATCAACTGAGGAATGGAGAGGCTTATAGTCACCAAATTCTCCAGAAACATGAGCTCCTTGGTGCTTGAGGTGGGGGAAGTTGAGCCTAGCAAACTCTCCTCTAAGCTTATAAGCAGCCTTGTCATAAGCCAAAGCTGCTTCTTCAGCTGTATCAAAAGTGCCAAGCCAAAGGCGGGTTCGGTTCTTGGGGAGTCTGATTTCAGCTACCCATTTGCCCCAGTGCCTCTGTCTCACTCCCCTGTAGAGTTTTGTAGGCTTTGGATGGGCGGAGGAGACATGTTTCATAGGGACAGCTTTTGGGGAAAGAAAGTTGAGCCTTTGATTTTGAAGGGATGTTGTAGCCATAGAAGCAAGCTGCTGTTGCTGTTGCTGCTGTTGTTGTTCGATATGGGCTTGAATTTGGAGGATTTGAGAAGGGGTGAGTTGGTTTAGCCCAATTGAACCTGTTTGTTCAAAACCCATCAGGTTGTTATAGTTAGAGAACCCATGATTCGAAAACGAGTGGGTGCTCCATGGGGAGCAAAATTCAGGATACAAGTTAGGCTGTGAAGGAGAAGCAGTGAGTTGAGAATATGAACAAGAAGGGTAAGAAGAAGAAGAAGATAAAGGAGAGGTAGATGAAGCACCTTTCATAAAAGGTTCAAGTGCTTTCATTAACTCTTCTTTAAAAGGATCTGAGAAAACTGAGCTGCTGCTGCTGCTATTATACATATCTATAGTTGCTGCCATATCCAAAAACTAGTTAAAACCTGTTTCTCAACCAAAACTAAGGAACAGGCAGTAGTTTGATAAACACCAACCTTGAGGGACCAAAAATAAACCCCCTTAGCTGATGAAAATAAAGAATAAAACTTTGTAATGAACAGAAACCTGGATCTCTATTCTGGATCACCTGGCTTTCAAAAAAAAAAAACCAACCTGGTAGGCTTGTTTAGCTTTGTTTTTAACACAAATTTGTTCAGCTTGAAAGACAGACGATGACAGAAAGGGATTCAGAGAAGCGGGGAAATACAGAAAAAAAGGGGGATTTAGAAGAAAACTGAAATTATCAAACACTATTGCAATATCTGAAAACACTCAAAGTTTTTTTCAGTTGCCTCACCTTGGTGTTTTCTCTCTTGCATTTCCAGTGTCACCTTATCTCTGCTTATATAACCTCCACCTCATGTGATTCTCTCTTAAATCCCTTTGATTTTTCATATTTTTTAATTAATTTTTGTTAAAAATTACTAAATAAATTAATTTATCACCATCCTCGTCAACTTCGAAAGATGCCTTATTCGATGTGGGGACGGAGGAAGTGCACCCAATGGGGAATTTGCCATTACTTGAAAGGTTCAACGGCAGGTGTCGGTCAGTAGAACGTGGCCATACACGTGTGACGTTGTGATTCGTGAAGATTTTGTTGACCGTCCTTCTGCTCGAGTGCTGGGCTTCATTGTTCATCTCTTCTTGCCATTTTGCAGTTGCCATATCATGATTATCACGAATTTTTTATCATTTGCACCAAATCGATCAAAATAAATACTCACTTCGTCTCAATTTATTTGCTTAGTATTGACTTTCTTTGAGTTTAAAAAAATTGTTTTTGATTTTAATATATTTAATATTAAAATTAAAATTTCATAATTTTTAATATTAAAAAGTAAAAAAACCATAAAAATAATTTTAAAATATAACAAATAAAAATTTAGATGTTAAAAAAATATAATTTTGAGACATTAAAAAAATAGGATACAGAGAGTATATTTTTTCAGATTAATTATTAAATCAATTGGTATAAAATTAAAGTTGGTGTTTATAGATTATGGGTTGAATAAGGTTATGCATGTAATATTTTCAATTAGATAAATATAAATGGTAAAAAAATTTTAAAAGTAAATTAAAAATTTTAAAATATATAATATTCTTTCTAAATTTAGAAATTGAGTTTAGAAACAAAACCACCCAAGGATTACTCAGGTAATTGGAACTTGTAATTGAGGTAAAAAAATTGAGGTTAGGACTGCTCATATAAAAGGTGATAAAACACCTAAAGTAAATCTTTGTTAATTGATCTTTAAAAGAATCCTTGTTAATTGTTATCCACGACAACAAAAGTTTAATAAGAGATTACAAAAAGAAGTTTAATTTGGTAATAATTATCATAATTAAATCTACAAACCCACCTCATGAGCTAGGTGAGATTAATTATTAATAAATCTTAAATAATCCAATGTGGATAGGGAAATTTGTGGAGAAACTGAAGTGATAAAAAAAGTTGTGATGGCATTGTTAATTGTTAATGCAATCTCAAAATCATTCATTTCCGGTAATTTGATAAAATGAGTTTTTTTATTAACTAATATTTGGTTTTTTTAGAAAATTTTGAAAGTGAGACTTTGAATACATTAAAAGGACGTGAAAAATACATCATTAAAATAGTTTTAAAAAAATTAAACTTCAAGAAAACTTTAAGATAGCATTTGATATAGGCGATCCATAAAAAATTATGATAATCTATGTATAGTAATTAGATCATTATGTTGATAAGTAATTAATGATTTTACGTAACAGTGATATTAAATCACTTAAAGTGATCAAATCACTATTTTAGAATGTGATTTAATTTTTATCTAAATAGGTAAAACCTTTTTATCGTTAAAGTGAAATGATATATAAAATAAGTGCATTAAAACCTTGCTTCTTTTAAAAATTATAATTATTTTATATTATAAATTTTTATATTTTTAAACTAATATTTATTATAGAAAATTCAAAAAATAATTTATGTATTTTCTTTTAATTTTTTTAAATTTTATATATAATATAATCTTTTTTTGTTGTGATTTTAATAAGTTAATTTTATTTTCTAATTCAAATACTTTTACATAATTTATACCATAAAAATTAATTTACTTATCAATTATGATGTTTTTTAATTTAATAATTTAACTATATTTTATTATGAAATAAATAAAATATTACTAACATTTTACAAATTATTATCTTTATACAACATTGAAATCATTAATTTATATAACTATTATAATATACATGATTATTTTGATACTTTCAAATAGAATAATATTTTATTTTTAATAACACTAAATATAATAATTTTTAATTTTTAAGAATTAATATTATTTAATAAAATAAAATGATTCTAAATTACGGATGATAAAATCACCTTAATAATAAGATTACTTTGATGATTAAATTATCATGATAATCTTAAAAATAATACTAAATATTATCTAAAATATCATTAACTTTAGGTTTAATGTTATAAATGACCATTAACATATAATAAAAATATTTAATATAATACTTAAATTTTAAAAATATTTAATATGATACATGAATTATAAATTTTTTAATTAATATAATACTCACTTTAATGTAATTAATTTTAAATGATGATGTGTGATAGGTTAAAATTATAATTCAAATATTATAATAAAAATTTTTAAAATTCAAATATTTAATTAAATATTTAATTATAATTTAAAATTATTTGAAACATTAATTTATAATTTTATTAATAAAATATAAAATTATTAAAAAAATAGCTAAAATAAAAACCAAAACCAAATAAAAACCTTATGGTTGTAAAACAAAACCGGGTGTAACAATTTGGCTACTGATGACAAAAACAGCGAGCCAACGAGAGAGAGAGAGAGAGAGAGAGAGAGATAACGTGAATTGCGGCGCCAGGCTGACGGAGAAAGAGAATTTGAAAAAGAGACGATTGGGCGAATCGGCATAGGATTCTTGACATTTGTGAATGCTTGACAAGCTGGAATCCGCTTTCTTTTCTAATCTTTTTGTCATGTTAATTAACTAACCTTGGTTGGTGTCGGCTCAGTGAAATGTAACGCTAATCGTTAAAATCTTGAAAATTTTGACTCAGTCGATTTTTTTATAAAAAAAGGTATTTTATTTATACAATTTATGGTAAGTAATAGGAGAGTTAAAATCCAACAAAATAACTTTATCCAAACGGAATATATGATTGATTTTTAAGGAAAAAAAGAACTGATTTGGTTTGTGATTTGAAATGATAGCTTTTAATTAAACTATTATATGTATGATAAAAATTTAAAATGATTTTGAATAAAAAATTTTGAAATAGAACTAAAAAAACCAGCATTTTGACCATATCATAGTATTGCGCTCATATATTTTAAAATTCTTAAAATCTGTCAATTTAAATTAAATTTTTAGAATTCAAAGTTTTGATTCATTATTAATAATTGTATAAATTATTGGTGGAATATTAAATTTTTTTTAATGTTAAAATTCAAATACTAACATTTTTAATAAAAAATCATGTTGATTTGATTTGATCATGTTATAATATTTTGATCGTATTCAAAGCACAAACACAAAATGCATATGATGTGGGATTATTTAATATTTAAATATTATAAAATAAATTTATATTAATAAAAATATAATCAATTAAAAAATATATGAATCTAATTGTTTTTTTAATATTATAAGACAAAATATCATTATTATAATAATAAATAAAAATGATTATAATGATGTAATATCTATAATTATTGAAAATAATTTTAATTATAAATTTAATAAAAAAATATTATTATTACATTAGAAGATATATTTATTTATTTATTATCGTGAAAATAATAGAGATTGACGTTATCATTGGAGGAGATGGGTGTGAAATTAACCATGGTTAAGGTATAAGAAAGTCAAAACGTTGAGAACTGATAGAAGTTGAAAGTTGCGTAAGACGGAAGCGAAAGGATCCCAATTCTCAATTCCAAAGCATTGCTTTTGAATTAATTCTTGGGTGTAGACGTGCGTAGGTACGTAAGGCATGGGTCCTACTTCGACGCGCTTCCACGTCGTTTCCTACGTGGACGTCACTTTCAAGCCACGCAAAGCCCTTACAAAGCATTTATTTTTGTTTTTGTGATGTTACTACCACCACATTTTTTCATATGAAAAATAATAAAAAATAAAAAATTTATAATTAATACATTGTTATCCATTGAATTTTGTAACATTATACATTAAGTATAAAATTTTTTTAAAATAACATTTTTAAATAATCTTAACTAATATTTGTAGGCACTGTTAATCAAATCGTTATTTTAATTATCAAGTTAACTCCTCCAGACATTAAAGGTAATTAACTTTTTAATCTTTTAAAAACAGCTCTTGGAAACTTATATGGGACCTTCTTTCTTTCTTTCTTTCACTGGTTTTTATATTAACTGCTCCTGACGATCAGATTATACAGATCTGCCAGAATAGATGTCTTTCGAGTTGATGCTTACTCTTGGACTTTTGAACCTAGCTGTCCTTTGAGGTTCAATTATTAACAAAAAACAAAAAAAAAAAAGATGCCCATTACGGTAGCTTCTATTTTGTTTGGGAGGGGCAAGCAAACTGATGTTATTGCCCATCCCCTTTTTTTCAATTTGAATATACGTATATTAGTAATGGACCATTGGAGATTGGACTATGGGAATAATGATGCCTGTACGCTTCAATATATATATATATATTGACATATATATATATATGTATAGTAGACTTATTTGCACATTGAAAAAAATCAAAATATGCGAAAAGTTTTTTTTATTGCTCAACACAAACAAAGACGAAGGATAATGTATATATTTTTTTATTTCTGGTTTTAACACAATGGAAAATCTTCAAGAGACATGCCCTGCATATATAGTACTAAAATTGGAATTAAAACATTAAAAGTCAAGAGAATGGCTACTAGTTGTTAGTGGGTGATCTCAGAAATTGACCTTGTGACGCTGCTTGTAATTTGCAATTATTTAATTGTATTTTGTTTGTTTTAATTGATTAGTGTTTGGTTGGCCAGAAAAGACATTTTGAGTAGCTTTTCTTTGTTTCCAAATAGTTTTATAGAAATGCCAAACCATTTCAGGCCACGAATTCAGAAATATGTTTTTAATAATCAAATTATTCAATTAGTTGACATTGCTATTTAAAAAAATTAGTTGACATTGGGTTAACTGTCAACTCTTAAAGTGTAAAAAAGAGTGGTTGAGATCATCTTAATGATAAAGCAACAAAATTAGTTGGCAAAGCAATGTGGCACATATTTAAGCGCAGGCAAGATAGGATTTTAAAATAGTTTTTGATTCTAAATTTGTTTACCAACGTTAGTCCCCATCATGTATTAGGTTTTTATTGAAACCAATAGCAACTAGCCAATTATCATGCTAATGCTAACATAACTAGTTTTGTCCACTTTGAGCTAATTTTATTTGGTAG